TTTTATTTTTATCTAATTTAGAAACGAAATTGAAATTAATTCAAACAAAAAACGTCAATTAGCTTAAATTCAAAGACTCGCTGTATGATGAGCAGTTGTTGCTAAAAAGAGATTGTGTCTTATAACAAGGGATCCTAACTAGGAGATACACTAAACTCTGACATTTTTAGGCCCGAATTACGGTCTGCGGTAAATTTTAAAGTCCTAAATTTTCTAAACAAGCATTAAGCGTTTACGCCCATCCCTGTTAAGCAACTCCTACATCGACTGAATAAATTCGAAGAAGTTATCAGGGTGGGTCAGGGATGAGTCGGGTTAACCGATACCCGAAACCCGGCTTTTTTTTGTCCAAAACCCGACCAGCGGAATTTTCGAACATCGACTTTTCCATGCAATTTTCGAAAACTAATGTATTGTGAATGAATTCAAAGAATTCAAAGAATTCATTCACAATACAACTACTCCAGTTAGACAGCTCCTCTCATCCATTTGATAGAAAGGTCTAAGAGATGTAGCTTTTATTGAGGTATATCTAACTAGTATTCAAATTATTTCGAACCCCAAATATATTTACATTTAAAAATTATATAATTTCAATTTCAAAATTTAGAGATCGGTAGAGATTTTATTTCCCGACTCTAATTTAGTTTACTTTCTCTTGTTTTTTTCTTTTCTTTTTCTTAACATTAACAGTAAATTATTTAACTGATTAACATAGAGATAAAAATGTTTAGTTTATGACATTAATTATGTTGGAAAAATTATGTTCGAACTTTAATATTGTACGCTAAATGTTTGACTAACTTAAAGTAGACAGTGCGCAGCATGCGTTTCTGGACTTGCATCCGGATTCCTGATTTGTAACTAGAGCCGGACCGGATCCAGCCAAATTTTTAGGACCCTGACCTCAAACTAATTATTAAAGTATTAATTATTAAGTAAATTATTATTATGTATTAAAGTATTAATTATTCAAACTAATTATTAAAGTAGTTATTAATTTCATCTCTCTTGAGTTATCGAGGATAACGCTTATGGAATCAACTTTTGCTAGGATGTACTATATTGAAAATATGGATACAATACTCCTCTTCCCTTTGGAAGGATTGACGTTTATATTCAGTCGAACATTAATCCAACAATAAAACCAAGTTAACTATTATGATGCTTCGCATATAATAATTTTGGCTCGGGCGCATAACTCTTGGGACGCTTAAGCTAATGGGACGATGCCCTAAGCTAAAAGAATCAAGCCCTAAGCTAAAGAATCTTTCTATCTCCTTTTTGCCATTTAAAATTTGCCGAGAATTTATTTAATAAATAAATTGATTAAGCTATCTTCATTCTCGTATTTATTTAGAAAGAAGGAGAAATTTTTATTATTTTTTATTATTAAACTTTAAATTTTTTAATTAATCTACTATTATGTCGTAAAATGTAGTTGCATGGGCCCGGAAAATTTTCAAAACTTTTTATTTTGTCTTAACTAATGTCAAAGTCATCCTCAAAATCTAAATCTCAAATTTTTTTATTTAGAATTTAAAAATGTTCAAAATTTCAAATCCAATCCTAATCAGATTTTATTTATTAAATTATGCCACCCAAGAGAGACAATTCTTTCTAAAAATAAGCTGTTAGTATTCAAAGCTTGAGAATGAAATAAAAAATATTTTGTCAATTTTCGTATCGACGAAAAACAAAAGTTTTTTTGCTGCTAGAGTCCATATTACAATTATTTAAATAAAATATTTTTTTACATTTTTCACATGATTCTTAATCAATTTATTTGATAAAATTTGCCGCTAAATCAAATGCCAAAAGAGGGGAAATTAGGCATTAAAAATTATCCCTCTATAAAAATATTTTTTTACTATATACTTTTATAAAATTTTTATTTTTATTATTTTTTAACAATATACTTTTTTTTATTTATTTATTTATCAGCATAAAAAAATGTCATCGAAAGGGCGTGCCACTTATTTCGATAACAATGTCGTAGTGACCGTTTAATTAAATAGGATAATTTAAAATACTTATAAATTTAAAAAATACAGACAAAAGATATTAATTTAATTAGAGTTAAAATTTTGTCAAAATTTAAAGAATTAATTTCTTCTACAATTTTGGTGCGTTTTTCGTTGTTTGTACTATTTCTGCAAAATTTAAAGAGAAAATTAATCGCTATGCGTTTCCGACAGAAAATATTATGCAAAAGATATACCCTTACTCTCTCCTTATCCCATTTATCCTCTCCATTTGTTAATATCCCGAATTCATTAATATCACCTAATCACTCCAACTTCTTCATAAGCTCTTGAATTCTGGCCTAAAATTCTCAAAAAGTCAAGAAAAATTTTTCTAAATTTGTTTCAATCTTTCAAAAATTTATTTATAAAAAATTTTTCTTTTTTCCTCAATTTTGCCATTTAATTACCAAAAATTTTTTATTAAATATTAATTTAATTGATTGATCAATTGCAAAATTAAAAAAAATTTTTTTTATAAAAAAAATATAAAAAAATTTTTATAAAAAAATTTTTTTTTATTTTGCAATTGATCAATCATTAAATTAAAAAATTTTTTGCCAATTAAATGGCAAAAATGAGTAAGAAAATATAAAAATTACTCCTTCTTACGCAAATTTTCCTTTATTTTTTTCTTTCCCATTTTTGGCATTTAAAATTTGCCTGGAAATTTTATTTAATAAATTTATTAAAAAATTTTTTGTAAAAGAGAAAGTTAAAGTTTGCCGAACATATAAATCGTTGGGCGTAAGATGGGGCCGGATTTTTGCGGACGATATTTGAGGATTTTAATTCCCATCGAATTCAATTTTATGTTCTTACATTGGGGCTTAAAGATCCGATTAAGCTGTTTTTATTATGAGGAGCAGAGGTGAATCGGAATTCCGATTTCCGACGATTTTTTCCTTCCGATTTCCGATTTCCGAAATTTTGGAAAAATTTCCGATTTCCGAAAATTCCGATTTCCGGTCTTCCGATTTCCTAGGCTCTTCCGATTTCCGAAAATTCCGATTTCCGAAAATTCCGATTTCCGGCTGTTCCGATTTCCGACACCTCTGACTGTTCCGATCCACCTCTGCTGAGGAGACAGAATTTATAAAAAATTTACACTTTTTAGAAACTAAAAATGTTTAAAATTTTAATTCCCGTTTTCCTATTTGCATATTTACATTCTGCAATTGCCCAAAACAGGCAATTCTTTCTAAGAATAAACGCAATTGTTTCAAATTCAAATGTTTACCAACGTGATCCCAATCATGAATACAAACGTTTCTGTGTCCGCATGAATTGCGCAATAGCTGGAGGTAATCGAAATCTTGTACGAAGAGGAAGAATTGGACAATTTACTGAAAAATTTTACGTGCCAAACAATAATGAGATTTCTGTTATATTGCCAGATGAGTGTAATTTAGATTATCCGATTACTTTTCTTATTACGCATATGATGGATAAATATCGTGTGAAGGAACGAAATTGTTTTGCTAATGGAGGAGCTGATAATCCTATCAATTACGATAATTGGGTTTGTTTATACTTTGGTAGGCCCCCCCCCACATATCATATAGCCTCATTCCTCTCAGCTCGCTGGACTCTATATATACATAGAATGTCGTATAATTTGCCATAATAAGTAAAAATTATCAATAAAGTACTAGAAAGTATTTTTGGACCATTAACTTAACTAGATAATATTACTTTATATATTATTTAGCCACAAATCAGCAAGCATATCGAACGATTTGAAAATACACAAAATGCGGAGGGAATTATCTACATCGAGTATTTTACTCAACATTCACTTAATGGAGCTCAAGATAGTGAATCGGAGCCTAGTGAAGGGGAAGAGCCTAGTGAAGGAGAAGAACCTAGTGAATCTTACTAATCCTGGAAATGTTTATCAATGAGGAATTCGCGATTTAAAAATTTATTAGATTAGCAAAGACAAAGAAAAACAGTTGACCATAAATGGTTTTGACATTCTTTTCTTTTATTCTTTATCTAATTTAGATATGAAATTGAAATTACTTGGATTTGATTTAAGTAAAATTCAGTTGCCCCATTATAAGATACGTACTGAGACTAAAGATCTCATCTACTAATAAGGAGTATCCCAAATATCGGCTATTGTTAAGTCAGTTAGGATGGACCAGACTAGCCCGGCCCTATCTGTAAACTCCTCTATCAATTTTATAAAAATTCTAAGACATGTATCGTATATTGAAGTGTATGTATCTAGCTAGGGTTTTTAGGCTTTTAAAAATTCTATTGAATTAAAATTTTTTAAAGATTTTTTAATTTCATAATTTAGAGGTCGGTAGAGATTTAATTTCCCGACTTTCTAATTTAGTTAACTTTTCTTTCTTTTGTTTTTTCTTTTCATTTTCTTAACATAGCAGTAAACATATATTTGTCATTTACACATAGAGATAAAGAAAACTTTAGAATTATGATATTTGTTTTAATCAATCTTTGAGGTCAACATTGAAAAGTTTTTAAAGCTGAGTATGCCGGATTATCTTAAACTAAAGGATATTTTATGTTGTGTGGTGGTGCGCGATAGCACTAAAGGCCTGTATATGTGTCAGTCTAGTTGGATCATACTAACCCGGCTAGTCACTGATATTCATCTACTCTAGTTCCAATCCTTCGGTAGGGTTTTCGGTAACTTAAGAATCTTTTTAATTCGACAATCCTACTTTCGAATATCCTCATTTTATAATGGATTTATTCATTTTTATGAGAATTGTTTAAGGTGGTGAACTTATGTGAATTAAATAATTTTTCTTTGTCAATAAACTTTTATATGAACACCTGAACAATTCAAACAAAAATAAAATTTAAACAAAAGATGCACTTAATTTAAATTATGTACTTTATAAAATTCTGTTTAACTAGCTGTTAAATCACAAAATTAAATGATTTATAAAGCCGATATAATTTTGAATTAAACACATTTTCAATATTCATTAATTAGACTTAAAAATATTTTATAAAATGGCCCGCTTTCAATTAGTTACTCTTTTGTTGTTATTTTCTCTCTTTATTCAAACCTTTGGGGTAAATTTTGCTAATTTAATTAGAAGAAATTTTTATTAACATATAAAATGTAGTAAATAGTCTCCTTAGATACCCTTTGAGGCTGAAAAAATTGTACTATCTTATAAGGAATTTTTACATGGTAACTTAGGAGTTTTACTTAGATGATTTAAACTAATTAAAGCACCAAACAAATTTAAAACAGAAAAATTTAAAGAGACCGTCTTATATTGAGTTTCTCTAGTACACATTCGTTTATAGCGAGGGTTATCTTTCATAATAAGATTTCTCAAACATCTCCCTCCTCACAGTTCCCTCATCATCCAACCTTTAGAATCCGTATCTTAGAGTTGTATCTTATATTGGGCTTATTTTATAGTGTATCTTATAATTGTGTCTTATAAGCATCATCTTATAATAAGTCTGACTGTCTATATAATTATTTCAGTTCTTCAATTGGCGTCCATTTGGAGGCTTTGGACATCATAAAATGCATCATTCATCGAGCTCATCCTCGGAAGAGCATCGTGGACATGGTCATCACCACCGTCACCATCACCATACAACACGTCCCAAAACTACAAAAACGTCAACAATAACCCCCACAACCCCATCAACGATTTCCTCTTCCTCTTCAATTGTATCATCAAAACCAACAACCCAAACTCCGTCATTTTCGACGAATTTACCATCTTCAACAATATAAAAACTTTCATAGAAAGGAAATGTAACGAGAAGAATGAATATAAAATAGAATTTAATGAATATAAAAAACAAGAAATGTATTTATTTAATTAATTATTAGAATAATATACAATGTAGTTTTATTTAAATAAAATTGCTTAGTCATTTATCTATACAATTCTATTTTTAAATTTTTTTTGAATTAATAGGCATTTCAAATTATAGTTTTCAAAAAGACACTAAAATGTACGTCTGTTGCGACACACAAACACACATACTTGTAAATAGGCTACCGATACAAATAAAGTCGAATTACGTACCATCCAAGCTCCACTTGAAGGCATTCTTTGGAATTCTTAAATTTTATCCTCCTCGTACTTAGTACAAATTTACAAAGTATAAATAAAAGTCTGCGCCTCTGTCTCACAGACAAATGGAGAAATTTCGAAGAACCCTAATTTATTTTGTTCTCCATTTAATTCTCTATTATTTGATTGTACATACATATGTATGTAAATATGTTGATATTATTTGATTGAGTTTTAATAAAGTTATTATAAAAAATGTGCATGCAAAGACTTCTGAGTCACCCTGTAGTTTTATGCATAATAAAATGCAATTCTTTTGTTAAATTTTAATTTAAAAATAAAACATTGTGTAAATATTAAACGCATTTTTGCAAGCCTAATTTATTTTAAGAACATAAAAATAAAAATAGAAAAAAATAAATATATAATTATTTTAAATAAAACAAAATAACTAAAAATTATTTAAGCGAAAAATAGCAGAAATTGTTTGCTTAAAATGGAAAATATTTAAAAATTTATTTAAATAATTAAATTAATAATTTATTTAAATACGCAATATTTTTTGCTTTGAATATTTTTTTAAATTTTCTTTCATTCTTTTCTTGCAAACAAAATTTAAGAAAATTTACTTGCCTTTCAAATAGCGTGACTTGAGGACTTTTTTCAGCCTATACCTTTTCTCGTGACACTGAGACTTCAATCCGGTTTTTATTTTATAACTGGCAAATGATTGTGGTAACATTTTTGTACCTTAATAACTCCATTGGCAGCTGTAACTAAAACATTTTCGGTACTAATTTAGTTTCCCCACCCCCCCCCAGCCAGTTTTTTCGAAAATTATGTAAAAATGGTCAGTCTGAACAACAATTGTAGAACCCATCGAGCTGTGTCGAATGACACCAAAATCAACAAAATCCGACTCGATTTGACCGAAATACAGACCCCTGAAAATTGAACAACCATGGGGGTGATTTTTCGAAATAAAAAAAGTTTACCCAAATGATAGCTCATTCGAAAGAGCTTGTCGAGCTGAGTCGAATGACAGCAAAATCAACGAAATCGGACAAGATTTGACGAAGTTATGACATTATTTAGACCTACCGGAGTCGACGATTTATGTCATATCTTTGTCAAATCAAGTCGGATTTCGTTGATTTTGCTGTCATTCGACTCAGCTCGACAAGCTCTTTCGAATGAGCTATCATTTGGGTAAACTTTTTTTATTTCGAAAAATCACCCCCATGGTTGTTCAATTTTCAGGGGTCTGTATTTCGGTCAAATCGAGTCGGATTTTGTTGATTTTGGGTCATTCGACACAGCTCGATGGGTTCTACAATTGTTGTTCAGACTGACCATTTTTACATAATTTTCGAAAAAATTGACTGGGGGGGGGAACTAAATAAGTACCACATTTTCTTCCTCTTATTAGTCTGAGCATTCTTAGTCTTTGGAATAATTTAGGAATTTTGGGAGAAATATACTTCACTCTAGATACTTCCTCTTGACAGGGAATGGTTGAAAAAATAAATCCCCACTACCAAATGCCCTGCGTCTCGTTAATATTTCAAAACTCGAATAATTCCCTACCTCAAATAATTGGAAGATGAGTATATCAATCTGATAAACTATTAATTCCCTTGGGGAATTATCCCTTACAATTTTTAGAGAATGTTAATTACGGTATCCCCTAAAATTTTTAAAATTCATAGATTTTATAAATGCTTCCCCTCGTGATTATATACTTGATACAAAAATTTAAACTAATTTTGGTCAAAATGTGCGTGATATGGATATTTTAAACTAAAAAATTTTAAACTTGCACTTATTTCGTGTTCAACTTTTATTGCGTTTTTAAGCCTTTCCAATTTTCAAAAATTTTTTCGAAAACTATAAACTTTACTTATTTGAAATTTAAAATTATTAAAAAATTTTTTTGTTAATTTTCTGAACTAAAATTATATCTACAATTATGTTTAAAATTGTACTCAGAATTTACTTCCGATGATACTGAACTTTTTTGTTAAATAGGTAGTTTGAATTCTTAGTTTTCATTCAATTCTTAGTTTCATTTTTAGTTGTTTTATTTTCAGAAAAATTCAAAAATTTTTGGGGTTTCATTCATTATAATTCTTAGTTTAAATTTGAGATGAAGGCGAAACTTTTCATTTAAAATTTTCCAAATTTTAGCTGCTTCAATAGTTGCTTCAAAGAATCCTTGAAAATTTCGAACAACTCTAGTCATATGCAGTGCTTATAAGCTTTTACCAAAGTTCGTACTGTACTATTACTTTCGTATGAGGTCAAAAATTGGGTGGTCAAAAATGGGGTGGTTATAGGCACTGGTCATTTGGTCTTGTATAAGCTGACATTTTTTTTCATAGATTCTCACTCCTTTGGAGGGGTTACATTGTCCATGAGCTCCATTATTCCATTGAGTTTCTATTATCTATTATTTATATTTTTAAAATTTGTATAGAACTTATTAAAAAATTTTTTCTTAAAATTGCTCATATTAGCCTTTAAATAAACCTTTAAAAATAGAAAGGGATTATAGCAGTATTTTAAATTTTGTATTTGAATTTACAAATTCAAAGAATTCTTTTTAATAATTCAAAAAATTTTTTATTTATAAGAAAAAAAATTTTTTTTGTATAAAAGTAAAAAATTTTTATTTTTTGTCCAACAAGTTCTCACATTTATAATTTTTCTAGTGGCTTAAAAAAAATTTTTTTATTAATGACTACCATTTTTAAATATTCATTAACACTTTTGTGTTTGTAAAATATTCTCATATAAATATAAATAAATTTAATAAAAAAATATAGGCTTTAGAAAAATTTTCCCTAAATTTACGGGACGAATTTGGAAAGAATTTTTTAACGTCATTAACCTTAAAAAGTTCTCTTTTTAAATTTTTTTGGTCAAAATATTCCCACGTTTTAGCCTATAAAAGGTAGAAAATTTAATTTTAAATTTAAATGTACTCTCTGTTTAAATTCTGTTTACGATCACAAATACAGTTAGAATGCTTGCGTTATTTATTAATTTAATTTGGGTTTAAAAATAAATATTAATGTTATTGTAATGTTTATTAATGTGTTAGTTAAATGTTTATTAAGAATTTAAACTATGTTCGGTTAAATAAAATTACCTAATTTAATTTTTATTTTGGATTTACGTGTGGGATAAAAAATTGAAAACAATTAACTTTGGGTGTGGCATTCACTAGTATCCCTCCTAAACTTTCCCCTCCTAAGCTCATCTGATATTCATCAGGACAAGTCGAACGTTAAGAACTAAGAAATTCAATCCTCCTCTTCATAAGGATTTGACTTTACAAACATAGTTGCGTCGGTATCGAAAATCTTTTTCCTTAATCATAATTAGTAATTTAAAAAAAAGCTCCCTCCCTCCCTTAACTCAACAAATAAAATTATATTTTAACACTTATTTATTCAAAAATTTGCGTGATATTTAACAAAGCATGTCAAGATTAGCCGGAAATTTTGACTATAACTTTTTTGAGCCGGAAATAAGTTTTGGCTACAAATTTCTCTTGAAATTGTAGTTCCACATTTGGTTCAAAAAATAAGAAAAAAATTTAAACATATTAATAATTTATTAATTTAAAGATATTAAAAATAAGAATAATGAATAATTTAACTAATACATCGCCAACTAATTCAACCGATGAAATTTATCTTCGATTCAAAGATGCAGGTCTAAGCTTTGAATTGATTTCATGGGCAACAATTAAATTTATTTTTGCCTTGATTTCGCAGATAATGTGTGCCAGTGTCGTGTATGTCACTATAAAAACAAAGTAAGAATTAAAAAAATTAATGAAGATTACAGTACCCGGTAGACCTCACTCGCGTGCTTTTACATTAAGCTTTCCAAGATTTGTAAGACTTCTGTATGACCTCTTCACAATAGGTATAATTGTATTTCGTAACAGAAAGATTTTAATCATTTCTACATAGAATCTAAGAATAAAATTTATTGAAATAATAAATACGGAATAGAAAATTAACCGCTTTTATACAAAAAGTCAACCAAATGTCAGCGGTCGTTAGAGTTGTTGTATAAGCAGAACCATACATCTAATTAGAAGAAAGAGACATTAAACAAGTCAAATTGGCTTTTATACTCTCTTTTATACTATCAAAACCATATACCGCAGAAATGAGAAAATAATTTTTTAATTTAAAAAGGACTCTTCGCCAAAGTTACAACATTTTGATTGTTGCAAATTGTATCTGTGGATTCTTCTTCATGTTCACCTTTTCAATTCAATTTGGAATTATCATAACTGGGATTAACTTTATTCCATTAAAATTATGTTTCCCGTTGATGATAATCCCTATCTTTTTTGTCCAATCTCAATATTTGCTTTATTTGGCCCTTTCAATTGACAGATTAATTACTGTTATGTTCCCAATATGGTAATTCCCTCAAAAATTTGTTCAAAAATTATTCTCCATATTTCTAGGCATTTAACAAACATTCAAAAATCTGATCGAGGGAATAAATTTTATTTATTTTTTATTTTTACTTTGATTATTTGTTATGCTGGTTGTACTGTTTTGAGTGGAATAAATCCTTCGTTCTTTGATACTCCTAATAAGTAAATATTTTGAATTTTTGGGATTAAAGTGAACACATATGAGTGGCAATTATCGCTCTAAGATTGTTCCTAGAGAGGTACAAGGTA